TTGTGTAACATACCGGTAAATACCAAAATTAATTTTCAATAATAGCCAAATTATTTTCCCCAAGATTCAAAATAAATTCAAAAGTTCAAAGAAAAAATGTCAAAGATGTCGAAACATAAATGAAAAAAGCTTCCTAGTTCAGAGAAATTCCAATTTATTTCAGAAAAACTATCAACAGATCTTTCACATGAATTTCATTTGTTTCAAAGAAATTACACATGAATTTCACAAAGAAGTTAATTATTTTGGCCGGCTGTGTGGCACGAATTGTCAGTTGTGTCTCTAGGAATGGGAGACAGCGGCCCACCTTTGCAAGGACGACCCCTTGTCCTTATCGTCTGGAACCACGTGTCTAGATGCATGAGGAGTTACCATGGTATGCCTTCCTGCCAGACTCTGGCGGAACGTGTGTATTTTTATATGGACTCGTATTTCGCATTATGAGGTGGTGATGTTTGCTTACGAGGCCATCAAAGCAAAGAGAGTTGGCGTTTGTTGGAGCCACGCCACTGGGTGCATCGGCTGAGCAGTCTTGTATTTTTTGGTTTCTTTACGCTCTGTTTGGATGTAGACGCTCTGTTTGTTGGAGCCACGCCACTGGGAGAGGGTCGTTCAGGGGATGGCTGACCGGCGGCGAGGGCTCATGGGCCAGAGGAGGGTAGGGGAGATTAGGGAGGATTGGGGTCGCGGGGGAGGGGGGTGAACCATAAGGAGAAGGCCTACAAGATTCAGGGAAGAAGGAGGGCGGCGGTGATGAAGGAGACCTACAGGAGACGGGGGAGAAGGCAGAAGACGGCGGGAGATGAGCACCGACCCACGCCGCCTATCCTTGCTATTCGCGCCTCCTCTGTTTCTTGTTTTGGGGAAGGGACGAAGAGGTAAAGGGAGCCGGGGTTGGGCAATTTCACCCGAAAACCGAGCGGGGAGGCGAGGAATTCGCGCGAGGACTCGCTAGTCTTGGCGGGCTGGGTCCAATATCGGGCTATAATTCCGCTACCGAATACTCAAGACATCCAAACGCTGGCATTCAGTAGTTACAGATGCCCAATGCCAATACTACCTCCCAATGCGTACATCCAAACATAGCGTTAAGGGGGTTTGCAATCGTGTGCATATTTTTTCCATCATTTCCTTTTATACAAAGGATCGTCATTTTCCTTCTATATGAAGGATGAGCCTATCGCCCTCCGCATCCGGGTCGACATTGTGATGCGTGGCATTCCCGAGCACGGCTGGGACATGGCCTCTGCGCAGCAGTTGCTCTCCCCGTTCTGCCTGATCGACACCCTCGCGCCGGAGACCCTGGATGGGAGCGACATGTCGGTGTTCCGCCTCTCGGCCTGGACAACCAACCCCGACGCCATCCCCGCTCCTCCGAGCTCCTCCTTGCCGAGCCCGACGCGCATGAGGGTGCCGATCCGGACCGCGTTTTCCGGTTCGCTGTTGAGATGCTCAGGTGGTCGGTCTCCATCCATGTCTGGAACTCCCCTAACTACAGGTTTCCCTCGCCGCCACCGCCTCCGCCACCAGGCTCCGATGGCGCGCACGATGATGGCTCGCCTCCTCTTCCCCCTGCATGGCCCCATCACCATGACTTCCCGCGGGCGCCTGGCCGCGCTTCCCCCGGCCCTTCCCAGCGTTCCGATGGTCGCAGCGACGCTGATGGCTCCGGCGGCACGCGCCGCCGTGGTGCCCCTCTGGCTCGGTCTTGGCAGGGTGTGCTGGGTCCGTACCCTGTCGTGGGCGTGGGGCCCCGGAGGGCCCCTGTCCACACACGGCTGTCCTCCGCTGCTACGCTCCAAGCTGGGGTGGGCCCCGAGGCGCAGCGCGACCAGAGCCCTGTCAGGCAGACCGATCAGCGTACTCCTGATCCCCCTCTGCTGCTTTTGATCGGGTCGGCGTCCAATCCTGGCCCCTCTTGCTCGCCCAGCCCCGTCCGGACCGACCAATGCGCGGTCGACACCGATCTTGGGCCCATCCTGCAGGCCGCCTCCCCCGCCCCGACAGCGCCTGCACCCAATGATTCTGGCGCTCCTTCCCCCTCCCTTTTGCAACCTCCCCCCTTGGCCCATGCGGGTGGAACGACCAATGGGGACGCTGGTGACCCCCGCCCACCCACTCCCGAGTAGCGGCAAGCAAGTTGACAAGATCTACGCCCACAACAAAATTGTGTTCTACTCGTGCAATAGAGAACTACGCATAGACCTAGCTCATGATGCCACTGTTGGGGAACGTTGAAGAAAATAAAAAATTTCCTACGGTTTCACCAAGATCCATCTATGAGTTCATCTATGCAACGAGTGATAGGAGTGCATCTACATACCTTTGTAGATCGTGAGCGGAAGCTTTCAAGAGAAAGGGGATGATGGAGTCGTACTCGTCGTGATCCAAATCACCGATGACCAAGTGCCGAACGGGCAGCACCTCCGCGTTCAACACACGTACGGAGCGGATGACCTCTCCTCCTTCTTGATCCAACAAGGGGGAAGGAGAGGTTGATGAAGATCCAGCAGCATGACGGCGTGGTGGTGGATGCAGCAGGACTCCGGCAGGGCTTCGCCAAGCAACTGCGGGAGGAGGAAGAGGTGTAGCAGGGGGAGGGAGGCACCAAGACTCAGGGTGCGGCTGCCCTCCCTCCCCCCTCCTTTATATAGGCCCCTCGGGGGGGCCGCCCTGGAGATTGAATCTCCCAGGGGGGCGGCCAGGGGGGTGGAGTGCCCCCCAAGGCAAGTGGTGCGCCCCCCCCCCACCCCAGGGTTTCCAACCCTAGGCGCAGGGGGGGCCAAGGGGGGGGGCGCACCAGCCCACTAGGGGCTGGTTCCCCTCCCACTTCAGCCCACGGGGCCCTCCGGGATAGGTGGCCCCACCTGGTGGACCCCTGGGACCCTTCCGGTGGTCCCGGTACAATACCGGGTGACCCCGAAACTTTCCCGATGGCCGAAACAGCACTTCCTATATATAATTCTTTACCTCCGGACCATTCCGGAACTCCTCGTGACGTCCGGGATCTCATCCAGGACTCCGAACAACATTCGGTTTGCTGCATACTCATATTCATACAACCCTAGCGTCACCGAAACTTAAGTGTGTAGACCCTACGGGTTCGGGAGACATGCAAACATGACCGAGATGGCTCTCCTTTCAATAATCAACAGCGGGATCTGGATACCCATGTTGGCTCCCACATGCTCCTCGATGATCTCATCGGATGAATCACGATGTCGAGGATTCAATCAACCCCGTATA